CCCCAGTTCCCCAATAAAAATCTTAAAAAAAAAGACAGAGATTGTATTGGGAGAGTATAGAGAAGTCTGTCTTTCCCACACCTTACCACCGCATTACATTCATAGGACTCAATTGTAATAATAATGATCATCATTGAGACAGCTGCATGATACAAATCATCTGTGAGGAGGAGTACGAGGAGAAGTCCAAAAAAAGGAAGAGAGACAAAAACAAGAACGCTGGGGGAATTTGAAGCCTCTGATACCAACAACTAGAGCCAACATTAAACAAAGTCCAACTCCTGGCTAGATTACCATACGTCCTCATAACTAGAGACCTATTTACCTCGGTTCCTATTACTTGATAAGACATTAAGACATGTCTGGCTTTCAACAAAAAAAGTTACTAGGTACACCAAAAGGTAAGGGGAAAAAGAACAAAACACACACATATACACACAGTCTGAAGAGACAGCAAGTATCAGAACTAGATGCAGATATGACATAGATGTAGAATTCTCATCTAGGAAATTTGTAATCATTATGATTAGTATAAATATTTTAATGGAAAAGTAGACAACATTCAAGAAAAGTTGCGTAATATAAGCAGAGATGGAAACTTTAAGGAAGAATTTTTAAAACTCTAGAAATAAAAAAAACCCCAAAAACCTGTAACATAATGCTTTTCTTTCATGGGCTCATCAGCAGACTGGACACAACTGAGGAAAGAATCAGTGAGCATGAAACCAGGTTAACACTTCCCAAACTATGCAAATGAATGGAAAAAAGGACTAGGATTATGACTGGGAATAAGAGTAGAGGGTGGGAAGGTAAGAATTAGAGCTGAGTTGTACAAATAAGATGTTGCTGTCAGTAAGGAGGCAAAGTTATAAATAGCTAATTCATGCGGAGATCTGAAGACAAGAAAATAGCCACTAGGTTAAAGGTGGGTCAGAGATCATGAATTAGGGATTATGGAAAAGGCACGAGTGATGGAGGACCACTGTTACAAACTTTGGTCATATGAGAAAGGAAGCAGCCACACAGGTCACATCATCTATGTACAGGGGGCGGTTGCTGAGGCCTGTTCGTCATGGGCTGCCCACAGTGAGACCAGAGTGGACAGACGCTAACGTAGTCCTCAGCAGGAAATCTGGGAATACTGACGATCCATAGCATTTGCCCAGATTGAGGAAATATTAAAAACAGTTTCCGTTGTTTTTTTTTTTTTTTGGAAAACAGCTTTCAAATGAGGCACTGGAGAAAAGGTGTTCAGGCAAATGAGTTACAGTTCCTGAAAAACTACAAAATCCTCTTCCAGATCTATTGTTTTTTTTTGCTCTTACCTTTGACACTCTATTTTTACTTTTTTTAGTCTTTTCAATCTCTTCAGGAGTGCAAGTATGGAAATGCTATGAAACAGAATTCATTCAGCTTTTTAGTGCTTGGATTGTTAACATAAAAATAGTAACATACCTTGTTTCTGTTGGGCCAGGGTAACACCAACATTCCCTTCATTGGCACAGGACTGTACTTTTATACCTAACAGAATAGTAGAAATCTTAGTATTAATTTATTTAAGCAGGTTTATTTTGAGAAAAAAAGTGTTAGAATACTGTATCAGTTTGCATGAAATGTACAAATTATTGGTAATACCTGTTTCTCCATCCTGCTTTAGCCTGATCATACCATGCTAAAATATGAAACAGTGAGGGAAGGGGCAGGAGGAAGGTTCTAATATGCGGCCTGTATACATCATATTTCTCTAAAGTCGTGATTTTGCACAAAAAGAATGAAATACACTGCTTGTCAACTGCACTGAGTGTATTTCCCCCGTCACTCCCTCCTCAAATGCTGAGATACCATCCCTCAATTCTCACTGTATTTCTGAAGATTTTGAATCTGAGTGATCCTGATTTCTACTCTGGACTTCAGCTTTATGTTAGTGGAAAGANCTCCTTTGGGACCCTGGGGACCAAGAGGCAAGCGCAGGGCATTCTCACCATTCCAGTATGGACCAAAGCATATTTTCTGAGTCACAGTGAGGATGCCATAGCAATACGTGAAAATTCAAAGTTTTTAACCACTTTCCAGGGAAGAAGCAGCTATGGCTTATATGGGTGCTCACCCACAATAGGAAGAACAGCAGCAGCCAGCTACATCATACTTGTTTTGTGTAAGCACACGGGGCGGGGGGCGGGGCACGCACTAATTCCTTCTGCTTATTTCCGAGCAAGAGGAGAAAAGGAAGAAGAAACATTTAAAACGCTACTTTATTTTTATCAATAATGTTCTTTAATTCAGTCTCTCGATTTGATTGCCATGAAGGCCCATGAGTCAGGTATTAGCATCCCCACTTTATAATACCTTGCCTGAGATCTCAACATGAGTAAGGTAAGGTTTCTCAGTGGTGCTGGTGCATGACCAGGCAGCCAGGTTTGCCTGGGCTTAAATGTTAACGCCTCTCCTCTGATTTTCAGAAATGACCCAGCTCAAACAGTAAGCGGTATGGTCACTCCTCCATGGACCATTTGTAGCCCATCCTAAATCAATTGAATCAAAATACATGGGGCTGGCATTGGGGCCAGAGACCTTTATTCTAAAGAAATGAGCAGCCAGTCTTCATGTAAACAGTGAAGTTGGGATTTCGGCCCAGGGTTCTCCATATCCAAAACACATGTGAGTTTTATTAGACATTAGCTCTTAGAAAGATGTCTATATGTGTGCTGGTAGCAAATTTAGAAATATACAAGTTGGTGTTTCTAAATTGTTTACAGTTTTAAATAATAAGCTAAAGCCTCAAACATGATTTAACATGTTTGAAATGGAAGGCTAGAAGCTCTCTTATACCAGCAAAGGAGCTATTTTTCACAATTTGCTAATATAAATGTTGTAAACCATGTGATTCATATTTATTAAATATGGTTTGTATTTCATTTTGTGTGTGTTAACAGCTGAAGGAACACAAGGCTAGGTGCAAGGAGTTGACCATTAGTTTCTCTATTATTTCATCACCAATAAAATTCCTTTGAACTATGAATTTCCTAATATAGCACACTGAAATAAGTGAAATAAAAAAATATTTTCACCAGTAGGTATAACAGGAAGAAATGGAACATAGTACAATCTGTAAATAAAGAAAATTCATCATGAAAAAGCACATATCCTTCAGAATAATTTTGAATACGGTCCTGCTCTCCATCACTTAACTTCCTATTGTTTTGGTAGCATATGTTTCCCGGGTTTGCTTCTTAATTTCTCTCCCTTTCCTTGACGTTATCCAAAATTTACAGAGCTTCGGATTTCAGTATCCAAGCTGGGTTAATTAGCACAGTCCAGCAGATGGTGTGCTCCAAATGGTATGTGACTGAAGCTGCGTTAATATCTTTTCAGACCAAGCAGGCCAACAGTGCAGCATTTCCTTCTACTTCTCTACTGTAAGACTTCATCTGAGGGGTGCTGGGTGAGAAACAGAGAGCCAGGCACAGAGAAAAATCTTGGCTGTGCTTTGGGATGAACAAGGAAATATATGGCTCCCTGAAGAGTCCAGCTGCCAGGGCTTTGGACCTGCTCAGAGTCTCCACCAGCCGGCATGCTGCAGGAATAATGTGGAGAACCTATCAAACTATGATGTGCTAACATTAGTAGATCTAAGAGTGAACTGCTCATATGAACTGAACTAGTCCCAGTACATGGGCTTGGAGTGAGAATGCCTTCTCCCTGTGTATATCACAGAAAGAAAACAGAACAGAGAAGTCTATCCCTGATGCCTCAGCAAAAAGTGCACAGGTCCACAAAATAAATGTCTAAGCAAACCAACAAATAAATAAGTAAATTCAAAGCAGAAACAAACAGGCAAATATAACCACAGCAACGTACTCCATTTTATACCATAACATTCTGCACTGAACAGTCTGATCTGCAGGTGTGCTGAAGAAACACATATCCAAGAATATATATATATATATATATATATATATATATATATATATATATATATATATATATATATATATATATATATATATTCCTTTTCAAGCTTGAACCATGAAAGGGTCAAAATCAAGATGAACAACCGGGATAGGTGACACCTCTGGAGATAACACAATTAAAAGAGCAAAACGAATAACAACAACAAAAAAGAAACCTCAAAGTAATGAAATTAGAGCACAAAACTTAATCTATAGGTCTAAAACAAAATGATGTTTCAAATGTAAATATTTAATGAGAGAGAAAGAGAGAGAGAGAGAGAGAGAGAGAGAGAGAGAGAGAGAGAGAGAGAGAGAGAGAGAGAACCACTGANAATTCTGTGCATTTGAAAAGACCAAAGTTTCATTTCCTAGGTTAGGGGAGAATGCGTCTTTCTCCCAGACTCTTCTAATTTCTGTGAGGATGGTAAATCAGTCTTATTCTGGGGCTCAGCCTTAGGACTCCTATTCCAATACCAGATTTATTTAGTAATAAAAATCAATATTTGTTTCTCCAAGTGCCCACTATTTTGTCTCTCTATTGCTTCCAAACTTGGGAAGAAAAACAGAAAGAAAAAAACCTATTGCAAAAGAGTTTGACTAAAGATCTACTTTTGTCTGAAAGGAAAAAAGCAGAAAGCCAGGTCACCGAGAAATAATACACCAGTACAAAACTCCATGGCTTTCTTTCATCATTCAACCAGTACTTTTTCAAAATCTGTTTACTAAGCTTAATGCTTAGGGGTTACAAATAAATACTAGCTGTCATTGCCTGAAGAGAGAGCTCATCTTACTTCTCTATGCCTCTCAGAATTTAACCTATCTTTCATATCTTATATTAAATATCCTAGTATTCATACAGATTTCCCTAATTCCCTGCCTTGCCTGGAGATGCATTATTCCATAAAAACCTCATTGAACTTCACTATTTCTCTCCTGTTGCATTTTGCACTTTTTATTTGTTTACAAATATTTTTTTCTTCTATTAGGTTAGAATCTCTTGATGAAAGAAACTGAACCCTAGTCGACTTTGGCAATCTCCAGTGTTGAGCACAACTGATTGGACACAATGCTCAGCAAAATATGTACGTGCTGAATTTAATTGAATATAAAAAATCTAGATTTGTTACATGATGGGATAATGCTGTGTTTGGGCGGGTAATGTGTTAGTGAAACAAGGAATGTCTATAAATGAAGAAAAATGAAAACATTACTTCAAACAAGGCCAGATTCATCTGAAGAAATATCCTATGAAAGCACACAGTTCTAACCAATATCTTTAGCTATACTAGGGAATTTCTTCTGCAAATTTTTGCCATTCTGCATTGTGTAAAGTATAACTGATTAGTTTCTATCCTCATTTTCCCTTTTTCTACAATCATCTAATTCTCCCAGAAGTTTTTTTTTTATAATAAATCATATTGTGGAAATAAAGAGATCTGAATGAATAAGTTCCTGCATTTATACAAACTTAAAATCATGATTATGATTATATTAGCAGTGATAAATATATAGCAATCCTTTCTTCCTATTGAGATAATTAAATAGGCCATAACAAGCAATACTTATGATGAACACCTCTAAAATGATAATATAAAAGTCAAACGCTCATAAGATAAAGACCGTCAGTTATGTGATTTAGTACATGCCTAACCGGACCATTCATTAAACTTGTGACTTGAGAGAAATGAATCAGCCGACTGAAAACAAACAAAACATATGCACCAACTTATCTTCCAGTTAAATTTCTCTTTAGGTTTTCACTGATGTTTAAATTATTTTACTTATTTCCTTACATATTTTTGTTTAAAGTCGCTCTCATCGCATAGAATTTTAAGTGTTATAGTTCTGGGAAGTTAGAATTAGGGAAATAGCACAAGACAGGAGGAATGCCGCAGTGACCTGAGGTTAACTTCAGAGTGTCTGTTTTACGTTAGCCAGTTGTAAATTTAAATGGCCAGTCTATGTTTTACACTTTCCTATTCAAGGCTTTTCTCTTCAATTTCCCCTTTTTTAGATGGAGCCATGCATCTATTTTCTATAGTTATTTGAACATGTGTCAGGTCATTTATTAGTAGGCTGATTTGCAAATTAAATAAAACATTTCACCCCCAATGTCAGATCACTTCCCAAGCTTTGATAATATGCAGAGAATACCAACATGGCCAGCATGGCATACTTTAGACTATAAACACATTAACTGGCATAAAACATAATTGGTTTGATTTTCATCTGGCAACGACATGAAGTAAGCACCCTGAAAGGGCAT